ATCACCATCTCGTTGTAGTCGGCGAACGCGTCGTCTTCTTCGTACGGCGCCCAGAGCGCTTGGGTCTCTTCGTCCGAGAGATCGCTGCGCTTGAGGTTCTTGGTCTCTGGCGTCCGCGCGAGGAAGCGGTAAAAGTTGGCTGAAATATACGGCATTGCGATCTCGAGCGCGTTGCTGACGATCGTCGAGAGGAGGAAGAGCACAAAGAGCTGGACGCGGAGCTCCATGAGACAACTGTCGTGCAAGCACACGTCGCCAACGTACGCCTTGATGTAGGCGATGTAGAAGAAAGCCGCAAACGAGTTGCAGAACTGGAAGAGGAACACCTTGGTGATCAAATGGTTCTCATATTCGACGCTCGTCCGGTGATTCTCCCAGTTGTTGAGTTTTTCCGCCACACGTCGGTAGACCTATAAAAACGTTAAACCATAGAACCATAAATATTGATATCGGTCCGACCATGTTGAGGACGTTGATTTGAATCGAGTTGAGAACGCTGACACCGCCCGACGCCCACAGTGCGTCGGTCGGGTCCGAGAGCTTGGTCGCGCGGTGCTTTAGGTAAAAGAGCCCGCCAAGCGCGACCAGCACCGCGAGGACCATGATGAACACGACGAGGTACGAGACCATGCGCCGACGCCGCGCCCTACACACTTTGTTCTCAGACCAGTTGCGATAGTTTCATAATGACGTACGTGGCAGTGGCCATGTCCCAAATCTGCGGCGAGTTGTCCACGGGATTCATGCGGCGCACTCCCTTGTACTGCGTGCGCGGCGACGTGTCAATGTCGAGCGTCACGTCGACACCCCAAAGCACCGTGTAAATTTCGGATTTGCGCTTCCAAAATTCCGTAAAAAACGTCGACCAGACCACGATAAACCCCGCAAAGAAGATCTTGCCCGCAGCGACGTCCGCAATATCGCACGTGTCCAGAACGTAGATGATGATGCCAATCACCGCCGGCAAGAGGAGGCTCTTGGTGTAAAACTCGAGCCACGCAAAGTAGAGCGC